AGATTTTGTGTCCGTAATAGCGAGAGTCCGTAATAGCGAGGTACTAGAGAAAATAAGTTATTTGGTCTCTAAACCTATGAAATAATATGCAACTACGCAAGCATAAAGTTCCTAACGTGGCCTCACGAACCCGATAAAGATTCGGCCCGGCCGCTTGCGGCAAGCAGGAAATTCTCATGTTCGCAGCCAATTGAAGAATGGTTTCTGTATTTTCTTTTATCGTAATGTCGCTTTGCATTATGTAAGTCAGGATTTTGGACGCAATACTTAAGTGTCCGCTGTAGAGAGAGAAAAGACAAGTGAAGTGTTTCGCTGGGTGGCGTGAAAGTGTCCGCATTTCAGTAATAGCCTGAGTCCGTTGTAAAAACGGGAGTTTAATTCAATCATTTCTTGATGCGTTTCACCGGGGCTCTTGTCGCAATGGTGAGGTGTCCGCAGGGCGAGATTCGACTGCAAATTTCCCATCAAGATTGGCCCTGTATTGTGTAGATGCTCCTATTATTTTATTTAAGGGGCGCCGGTAAATGATTTGGTTTGATGTTAGTGTAGAGTGACAGCCTTGAACCAGCAAGTTCGTCATCGAACTAAACGTTCTACTTCTCAAACCAACGAGTACACCAGTCAAACCAGTTCGTTTTGTCAACTGATCGAAAGAAGACTTCATTCAGCTAACTTGTTATTGTCAAAAAATCAAACTTTGCTTAAAAACAAAATTATTATCGAGTGTAATAACTAATCGAGTCAGAGTGGACGTGATTGTCTGTGTTTGGTCAAAGCTAGTACAAAGTCTGGAGTTCAATTCGCTAGGACCCGTCTCTTTCACCAATTACTGTCATCTCGTTAGCGCAGAGAGGCGGACTTTGTACAGTTGTAAATTTCACTTGAGCTTAAAATGTCTTCTCACGCGTTGTCTTGTTTCCTATCAGATCCATCACATATAGATTACACATGCCCGTGAAGAGTTTGAGACTTAATCAATCACAAAATCAAAATGCTATCGCAGATGAGTTATAAGTCGGGACTAAATTACGAATGATCTTTGTCTATAGTCATGAGAGTCTGCGGGTAAGTCACCATCTATTATTTTCAATGAATTTCTTTTTAAGTCTCTTAAAGCAAAATGTCTTTCGTATCAGCTGACTACTAAACGGCTAGAGATCGCAGCCCTGTGCATGGTTTGCACGGTTTTGTCTGTTTTCGTGAGAGTCGTTTTGTTACCTGTGTTTATAAACCTGTGTCATTTCAACACTGCACGGGCACAATTTTATGCTGTTTTAAACCGATTTCTGGAGCCTCTACCATGGCTAGAAGCTCCTCCAGTTTCGTTTCCCATAGCACAGTAAGAGCAAAATCCGCGACTCAGAGCAGCCCCTCTGCAACAACTTCCGCTAGCTTGCCAATGAACTAACTATACAGTAATAGGGCTATCCTGCTCGAATCTCCAACTTAACAAGTACAGAGATCGTGAAGGGGTGTCTGGGTCAGATTTATTATCACACAGTACTTTTAAAATTCAAACCTCTCCCCTCTGTGCTCATTTTGGCTAGCATTTCAAACTGAACGAACAAGGCAGCCACAGGGCTCTATGCAAAAATACATTGAACGTGATTCAGTTGTGGATGGTAAGTGATGTAAGCCTCATTCGTTTAGTGTAATTTGATCCAAGCAGGAGTCTCATATGCCGTAGGTAAGTCTCTTTATGATTTTCATACCATGAGCTTATCTTTTTTATGGAAATGAAAATGTCGCTGACGATAGTTGAAATATGGTTTAGTTTCTCAGCCGGATTTTCTTGTTATCAGGTCTACTTCATGATACCGTAATGATTCCACAATCATACAAATGCTACGTTCAATAAAACGATTCACGTGCCGCTCTAACTACGGAGACTTGAAATATTTCGCCTTGGTTAAGCTTAGCTGATGCTTATGTTCCAAATTTATTCCAACACTTACTCAACCATACGAATATTAGCGGCGAAGGCCCAAACTGGCGCAATATCTTGTTTAAATTTAATGTCTCTTGTAAAATAGATTATTATGCTGAAGATCCTATGTCAGTTTGCATCTGAACGAAAGAGTGTCCATGCAGAATTTTTTTTTTACTGAAATAGCTTTCGTTCTCGCCAAGTCTTCTCTTTTGCCCCTGAACAAAAAGCAAAGAAACTTTCCGTACGTTTTTGTCTTCCATAAAGCTGAAGATAAATAATTGGGTGGTCCTAGCTGTTCAGCGTCAAATTATCTCGCAGCAGCTGGTTTTGAAGATTCAAAAAAGCATTTCCTATACTTATTGTATAGCGCCACGCAAAAAACTTATATTCTGGCTGCCTCTTTTGATATGAATGCGACATGATCTTGACAAAAACTGAAAAAAAGGCTGTATTCCTAAATTTGAATCATTAGGAATTGAATTAGTTCAGGAAATGTAAAACTGCAAAGCGCCGCGTCAAAGTGCTATTCCTATCCCCTGTCGATGCACCATCCATCAAACATTAATTGAACTATTTTATTAACAGTCAGGCTGATAGAGACTCTTGGGGAAATGTAGAAACTGCGCCTTTAAACATAAAGGCCAAAGTTGACTACAGATTCTTGAAGTCAAATTAAAGAAACAACGACTGGAAACTATATCAATTAATTCATGAGAGAGAGCTTTTCGTTTTTGCCTTATTAAACAAGTATTTACTCAGGCACTATCTTGAGTGGCGTTCAAATACCGTGTTAAATCGAAAGACAAAATGGGCAAATAAATGTCGGATTTCCATTACAAAAAATAAATATGACGCAAATAAAACTCTATATGAATTTATAGTTTTGATTCTGGCGCGGACTTTATTCCTGTGGTTGCTTCGCTTCAAGAATACATTCTTCTGAAAATAAAGTTTATTCATCGTCCCCTAGCATGACAGCGCGCATTGCAGAACCGTCCTATTATTTCATGGTCATGGATCTGTCAAAAATATTAAACTTAGTTGCGTGTCATTTGCCTAGTGCATTATTTTTTGTCGAACTAACAGAGCCCACTGAAGGTCTGTCATTGATTCACAGCTGCTCATGATCAAGAACAAACCGTCAATTCACAAGGAAGTAAAATGACATACATAGAACATAATTTCGCAATTTCCCCAGATTTCCTTCACTTTCCTAGATTTTCCTACATTAAAATTGTTCATTTCACCGAAGGCAACTTTCTCTTTGTTTCGTCACACTATTCGTGAGACCACTTGGCTAATTACTCACTAAAATGAGTTTTAAAATACGGAGCATCTGCCTTAAGACTCGCGAGAAAGTACAAAATCTCCTTTTTGTGTTAATCTTGAATTTCTGCACGTAAAGAGGATTTCTTTCTTGTTTGTTTGTTTTTTCATACTCAAGTTTATGAATTAAAATCAACGAGGAGATCTAAAGCAAAAATGGGATTATTTATAGGAACGGACTGTAAATGACATGTGACATGTCCTAATTTGATGGTAAATCAACAATTATCCCTATTCAATAAATTATGAGTAACATCCATAAAAAATACTCTGCCTCTATGTAACCCAACTCACATCTATCATATAGGGCTTGCTTTGAAGACAAATAGCTTCTAGACGGTGTTCATAAGTTTGACCTCTTGACTGAGCTCTAAGTAGTTTTTTTTTGTGACTTTCAAAGCGGAAGACAAAGCCCGTGTTGTACGTGTCTTGAAAATTGATATGAGGCATGTTGGATTTGAGATCAATTTGAGGACTCCCACACGCAAACATTTATGTCCGATATTCCTGTCCAGCTGTCAAGAAGAGATGCGACCGAGATTAATATTCATAGGAAATCATTTTAAAATGGTTGAAAAAGGAAGGGATCAGGAATGAGCTCTTTAGTTCATCAGTCTCGGGCCACTGAATTCTCAAACCGTTGGAAAGGGGTGGCAACATTATCGATCTCCAAAGGTATACCGTGTTTCTTATGTTAGATCAACCTGAAAAAATGCTTGGATCAGTGCGGTTGAAATGTTAATTTTTCCTTTTTTTCAATCTTCCTTTAGTACTAAGAGGCTACAAGTCTGTTTGCTTACAGCGGACTTCAGTGCATTCTATCGCAGGTACGTTGAATTGCCATGAGACGTTCAACGCTTCTTAACTCATAATAACTTGGAGGGAAACAAGTTAACTTTGTAAGGCGAATATATAGGCAGATTGATTTACTGTTTTCAAACTAATACTTATAACGTTACAGTCCATCAAAAATAGTTATATACCTGCGCCAACGGTGTCTTCAATGAGATATCATACATTATCTTTGGTGTTATTTTTTATTCTACCGGATATTGAACCGAGAATAAAAGGTTAGTTATAACGAATATTATGTTATTTTTATCGTTTGTTTCTGATAATTTTCATTATTGGTATTATACGAACAAATGTAGGAACCGTACAGAAAATTTGAAAATACTAATAAGAAAAAACTCTTTCTGAAAGTTATCTTTATCCATCGGGACGGAAAACGACAATTGAGAAGATGACAAATAAGAAACACTTTCGTCATAAAGGCAAACCAACAACGAAGACCAGTATTTATATATTTTAGGATGGGAATACTTAATACTTCTATGCAGAAATGCTTAACCAAGTGATACTAAGATTTTTTCACTAGGGTTATTTACGGAGAAAATTAAAATGTCCTGCTGCATTCCTTTTCCTGTTTCCAGTATTTCTGTTCCTGTTCACAGCTTCAGTGACGTCCTGAAATATCATCGACTCAACCAAAGTGAACTAAATTTCAAATAAAATTTAAAAAAATGTAAAAAAATTATTTTGTTTCCTTTGAATTCACAATCGATTCCTCACATCACACCCCAGGTTGGTATCAAATAAGATCTTAGGAGGCCATGGGTGTTCCCTTTACTGATTATTTATTCAGTAATAACAGTTTTATCCTATTCAACTTTAGCAACAGAAAAAACAGGGACTAAAGATGAAACCAGAAGCCGAATGGATCATCACAGTCCTCTACGCCATCACGATGCTCGTAGCGTTTGCAGGGAATAGTTTCCTCATCTACATCGTGTGGAAGAAACCTGAAGTCAGATCACTGACAAGCTTTATGTTCGTCAACATGGCCATCGCTGATTTGCTGGTAACCTTGGTAGTGATGCCCTGGTCGATTTCCACAATATATACAGACGGTTTGTGGATGATCCCGGGAGTATTTGGAAAAGTCATGTGCAAAGGTGCTGTATACATTGCCTATGTCACTTTAACAGCATCCGTCCTCTGCCTGATGTTCATGGCGATCGACAGGTACTATGCCATCGTTCATCCTCTCCGCCGCCATCTTTGGTTTCGAAAGCCTAAACTAACCGTTCCATTTATTTGGATCGGGTCACTGGTCTCCATGTCCATTTTCCTTGTTATTCAAACTGTGGAGGACTACAATAATTCTCCCCATTGCACGCTATCTGTTTACATCTTGGGTGATCCAGATAGGGCTCTTCAAGGAATATACCTCCTCCTTTTCGTCGTCAACTATCTCATCCCCTTGGTCGTTATTTCTTTTCTGTATACCATCACTGCACGGAACTTATGGTTCCATGATGCACCTGGAGTGAATACTTTGAGAGGAAATCGAGCGCAACTAGAAACTTCCAAGAGAAGAGTGGTTCGGATGCTCATTATTGTTACCTGTGCCTTTGCCCTTTGTTGGCTCCCACCACAAGTGGTCCACATCATGTACGTCATTCACGCATCTAAGGCTTACCTACATATACAGCCGATTGTCAGCTTTGTGTGTTTTTGGTTTGGACACGCTAACAGTGCCGTTAACCCATGGCTGTACATTTTTCTGAGTACCAAGATAAATACGGCATTTACAAGGATCGTCAGTAGAAAAAGCGGCTGGTTGCCTTCAAGTCTCGCCATCAAAACATCAGATGCCGTCTTACCACCTGAAGATGAAGCAATCCAGAAAGAATCAAGAATGTAATCTCTCTCATAACATGAAACGTTTATTACCAATTTGGTAACTGTAAGATAGACACTCGCTTAAAACGGATTTGCTTATTTCTAATTATATAATATAATACAAACACCTATATACGGTTTCATAAAAGTTACTGTAGTAATCCGAGTAATTTCATGAGAAATTGATAATTGCAACTTATTTCTAAGAACCGTTCCGTGTATATGCAAACCGTTTCCGTGATAATAATTTAATTTTGACTAATTCAGATTATAATTAACTGTTTTGAAAGGAGATTTGTAAGAGCCTTCGGCTATGACATACACAATTAAAGCAAAAGAAATACTTATGGACCAAGAATCGTCTTATTCCGTTTAGAGTGGAGCGCGCTAACCACTCGGCCACACTATCTCCCTTAAGGTTGCAATATTTGTTCTTTCTTTTTCGTCTGAATTTGTTCTGAAATAATACAATCTTGAACAACTGAAAAAAAGAAAAGGGAAAATGAAGCTAATATTCAGGGGCTTGGACATCTCAGAGGACATCTCAGAAGAGTATAGAGAAATATAGTTCAATTTTCACAACTATCTAGCAAATTTTTTAATTTTAATAATATTGAGAAAATAGGCGTTGTCAAACAAGGTATTTCACAGTCATTACCGGCGATCTAGCTAATTAGCGCGCGCGAAAAGCGCAATTCACTTGTCTGCTATATAGTAATTTGGTTTGTTCATTCATAATTTTCTCATCGATACTAACCAATCGTTCCTCACAGTTTTCTTAAATTCTGTAGCATAGAATTCTGATAGTTTCAGCTGAAATCCAAGTAAGAGCTCTGTGTAATGGGGCGTTAATTTTGTTTTTTAGGTTTCAAGTGTCATAGGGACAAAATGGGGACAATAGGAAAAAATGAGATTTTCAAGGGGAGCTCGGCAATCCCTCGACAGAGTACAGTAAGAAAATATGCACTTTATTTAAAAACGAGCAAGCAGCTGGGAACATGAAAAAATAATCTGAGACTTCGTTAAGAATTTGAACATCAGACCTTCCCATGGTGCCTCAAATTACGGAGCTGCGTTACAAGGCAGTCCAGCATACTGATAAGATAATTTCTTGTTTGAAATATTTCTTTCTCAAGATATTACTTTTCGACATTTCCATCACTTGCCGTTTGATAACAAAAATGACTTAAATATTTTTTCAGAGACTTTTTTGACTGGTTTATGCATCCAATGCAGATGTTATCAGACGTTATAATCTGTATATCTTGGGGAAAGAGGAAATAAATTTGTTGATGGTCAGTGCCAACAACAAAGTTATGGCGGAGTATAGCAAGTGTTTATCAGGCGTATAACTTAACAGAAAAAGCAGTCAGACATAGAAATATTTCTCGTATTTTTGCTTCCCTTTGTACCTATGCCCTCTGGGAAAAGATCGCCACGTTGGCTTTACGAAACTGGTCGAATTTATGAAAGAAAAGGAAATTTCAAATTTCAGTTGTTTCTAGTGATCACTACGGTCATAATAACTGGTCATAATGTTCGATCCAAATAAACCTTCCAAGGGGTGGAGAATGACTGGAAATATATGAAATACCTTATATGTGCAATGCGGTGAAGAAATGACCAGCTCCCAGTTGGCTTTTTAGCTCAGTTGATAGAGCACTGCACCGGTATCGCAGAGGCCATGGGTTCAACTCCTTACAGACCTGAATTTTTTTTCAGGTCTCATTTCTCAACTACTGATTCAGTTGTGTTCATAGCTGCGATGATCGCTTATATCTCTTTTCTTCACCGCAGACTATACTCAGCTAACTTGCTATTGTCAAAAATTCAAGCTTTGCTTACAAAAGAAATTTATTATCGAGTATAATAACAAATCGAGTCAGAGTGGGCGTGATTGTTTGTGTTTGGTCAAAGCTAGTACAGAATCTGGACTTCAATTCACTAGGATCCGTCCCTTTTACCAATTACTATCTAGCGCTAGCGCAGAGAGGCGGACTTTTTACAGTTGTCAATTTCACTTGAGCTTAAAATGTCTTCTCACGCGTTGTCTTGTGTCCTATCAGATCCATCACATATAAATTACAGATGCTCGTGAAGAGTCTAAGATCTAATCATAAAATCAAAATTCTTTCTCGGATGAGTCATAAGTAGCGACTGAATTACGGATTATCTTTGCTACACCATCGACGGTGGACTGTTGTTGGCTGTCTATTGTCAAGAGACTCTGGGTAGGTCACTATCTATTATTTTCAATGAATTTCTTTTTAAGTATCTTAAAGCAAAATGTCTGTCGTCTCAGTTAACGACAAGACGGCTAGAGATCACAGCCCTGTGCATGTTTTGCGCGGTTTTGTCTGTTTTCGTGAGAGTCGTTTTGTTACCTGTCTTGATAAATCTGTGTCATTTCAACACTGCACGGCCACATTTTATGCTCTTTAAAACCCATTTCTTGGGTCTCTACCATGGCTAGAAGCTCCTCCAGTTTCACTTCCCATAGCACAATAAGATCAAAATCCACGATTCATAGCGGCCCCTCTGGAACAACTTCCGCATGCTTGCCAATAAACTAACTATACAGTAATAGGAGTATTCTGTTCGAATCTCCAACTTAACAAGTACACAGCTCGCGAGGGGGCTTCTAGGTTAGTTTTATTATCATCTACGTGGGCATTGTCGCTTGACTCTTTTCATCGCACGGTTTAACCGTACCTGTACATGCGTCTTTTTCATTTCTGGTTTGCTCAGCCATCATGTCACAAGAGATAAGCGTATTTCATTTATCGAGCTCAAGTGACTATCATAGTATTTTTACAACCTAAACCTCTCCGCTTTGTGCTCATTTTTGCTAGCATTTTAAACTGAACGAACAATGCAGCCACAGGGCTCCATGCCAAAATAAACTGAACCTGATTCAGTTGTAGATGGTAAGTGATGTAAGCTTCATTCGTCTGATGTAATTTGATCATACCATGAGCTTATCTTTTTTGTGGAAATGAAAATGTCGCTGACGATAGTTGAAATATGGTTTAGTTTCTCGGCCGGATTTTCTTGTGATGAGGTCTACTTCCTGATACCGCAATGATTCCTCAATCATACAAATCCTACATTCAATAAAACGATTCACGTGCCGCTCTAACTACGGAGACTTGAAATATTTTTCCTTGGTTAAGCTGAGCGGTGCCTATGTTCCAAGTTTATTCCAACACTTACTCAACCGTACGAGTATTAGCGGCGAAGGCCCAAACTGGCGCAATATCTCGTTTAAATTTAATGTCTTTTGTAAGATAGATTATTATGCTAAAGATCCTTTGTCAATTTGCATCTGAACGAAAGAGTGTTCCTGCAGAATTTTTTTTTAAACTAAATTAGCTTTCGTTCTCGCCAAGTCTTCTCTTTTGCGCCTGAACAAAAAGCAAAGAAACTTTCCGTACGTTTTTGTCTTCAAAAAAGCTGAAGATAAATAATTGGGTGGTCCTAGCTGTTTAGCGTCAAATTATTTCGCAGATGCTGGTTTTGAAGATAATTTTTCAAAAAAAGGAACTCCTATACTTATTGTATAGCGCCACGCAAAAAACTTTTATTCTGGCTGCTTCTTTTGATATCAATGCGACATGACCTTAACAAAAACTGAAAAAAAGGCTGTATTCCTAAACTAAAATGGTTAGAAAATGTAAAGCTGCAAAGCGCCGCGTCAAAGCGCTATTCCTGTCCCCTGTCAATCCACCATCCATCAAACATAGAATGAACTATATTATGAACAGTTAGGCTAATGGAGACTGGTGAGGAAATTTATTGCACCTTTAAACATAAAGGCTAAAGTTGACTACAGATTATTGAAGTCAAATTAAAGAGACAACGATAGGAAACTATATCAATTAATTCATGAAAGAGAGCTTTTCGTGTGTTCTCTATTAAACAAGTATTTACTCCGGCACTGTCTTGACCGGCTTTAAACTACCCCCTTTCATCGAGAGACAAAATCGGCAAATCGATGTCGGATTTCCATTAAAAATAAATATGATGCAAATAAATCTTTTATGAATTTAGAGTTTTGGTTCTGGCGCGGACTTTACCCCTGCGGTTGCTTCGCTTCAAGCATATATTCTTCTAAAATTAAAGTTAATTCATCGTCCACTATTGACAGCGCGCATTGCAGAACCGTCTCATTATTTCATTGTCATGGATCTGTCAAAAATACGTGAGATCATTTGCATGCAATTAAACTTCGATAGGAGGGCTATGAGGTAAAAATAAAATTGACCTGAAGGCAACGGTTCCATAACGGAATTTTGACATTAAAGTGATCCGAAATGTGACGTGTGCTTTCCCATGATTATGCAGGCTATGAAAACACAGTGTAAGGCAACAAATTTATGTGGAATTTGTCTCCACTTTCTGTGCATTGTTACGATCAACCACCATCGAATTCTAAATGACAAGCCTTGCGTTGAAAGACGCCATTGACTCAAGGTTAAATTATGGTTTTTTTTACTAAACTTAATTGCGTGTTATTTGCAAAGTGCATTATTTTTTGTCGAACTTATAGAGCCCACTGAAGTTCGGTCATTGATTCACAGCTGTTCATGATCAAGAACAAACCGACAAATTCACAAAGAAGTAAACTGACATACTTAGAACATAATTTCGCATTTTCCCCAGATTTCCTTCACTTTCCTAGATTTTCCTATATTAAAATTGTTCATTCTACCGAAGGGTAGTTTCTCTTTGGTTCGTCACACTGTTCTTGAGACCACTTGGCTAATTACTTACTCATTAAAATGAGTTTTAAAATACGGAGCACCTGCCTTAAGATTCGCGAGAAAGTGCAAAACCTCCTTTTTGAGTAAATCTTGAATTTCCGCATGTAAAGAGGGTTTCCTTTTTGTTTGTTTGTTTTGTTTTACTCAAGTTTATGAATTAAAATCAACGAAGAGATCTAAAGCAAAAATTATTCATAGAACGGACTGTAAATGACATGTGACATGTCCTAATTCGATTGTAAATGAATAATTGTCCCTATTCAATAAATTATGGGTAACATCCATAAAAAAATACTATGCCTATGTAACTCAACACACATCTATCATATAAGGCTCACTTTGAAGACAAATAGCTTCTAAATGGTGTTCATAAGTTTGACATCTTGACTGAGCTCTGAGTGGTTTTTTTTTTTTTTTGCTCTTTAAAGCGGAAGACGTAAGCCCGTGTTTACGTGCCTTGGAAATCAATATGAGGCATGTTGGATTTGAGATCCATTTGAGAACTCCCACA